AATATTTTTACAGATAAATCCGGGACATCCCGAAGCACAAAAAGGAGGCGAAATTCACATTTTTATCCCCAAATCCGGGCTGGGGGAGCTCCCAGTTCATCCCAGTTCATCCCAGTTCATCCCAGTTCATCCCAGTTCCCCTCCTCCCACAAACAACCTGCTGGGTTTAAAAAGAAATAAAAAATAAAAATAAAAATTTAAATAAATAAAAAATTATCTAAAATTTCAAAAAATCCCCCCAAAACCCCGAAAAATTTCCAAAAAATTCCCCCCCCAGAAAAACAATAAAAAATAAAATTTAAAAAACCACACACACACAAAAATTTCCCCCAAAATAAAATAAAAAATAAGAAAAAACCCTTAAAAAATCCCAAAAAAACCAAACAAACAAAAAATCCCAAAAAATCCCCCCCCTAAAATTTAAAAAATTAAAAAAACACAAAAAAATTCAAATAACCCCCTCAAAAAATAAAATAAAAAATCCCCAAACCCTCAAAAAATTAAAAAAAATCCCCCCAAAATAAAAAAAAATTAAAACAGCCAAAAATCCAAAAATTAAAAAAAAAAATTAAAAAAATTTAAAAACTCCCCCAAAATAAAATAAAATCAAATATTTTTTAAAACCCACAAAAAATAGAAAATTTAAAAAAAAAATCAAAAAACTCCCCCTAAAATAAAATTAAATTAAAAATAAAAAAAAATAAAAAATTTAAAAAATATTAAAAAAATTTTTAAAAAATCTAAAAAAGGGCCCAGCACCACCACAATTATTAATTTTTTGTTTTTTTAATCCTTGTGATCCTTGTGGTTTCTGGATTATTTGGGATGATCCTTGTAGGGTCTGGATTATTTGGGATGATCCCGGTGGAATCTGGATTATTTGGGATGATCCCGGTGGGATCTGGATTATTTGGGATGATCCTTGTAGGGTCTGGATTATTTGGGATGATCCCGATGGGATTTGGATTATTTGGGATGATCCTTGTAGGGTCTGGATTATTTGGGATCCTCCTGGTCGGTTCTGGATTGGGATCCTCCTTGTGTGGTCTAGATTTGGGATGATCCCGATGGGATCTGGATTTGGGATGATCCCGATGGGATCTGGATTTGGGATGAGCCCTGTAGGGTCTGGATTTGGGATCCTCCTGCTGGGATCTGAATTTGGGATCTTCCTCCTTGTACCATTTGCCTCTGGGATCCTCCTGCTGGGATCTGGGTTTGGGATCCTCCTGCTGGGATCTGGATTTGGGATCCTCCTTGTGGGGTCTGGCTTTGGGATCCTGCTCCTTGTGGGATCTGGATTTGGGATCCTGCCCTTTGTAGGGTCTGGGTTTGGGCTCCTCCTGCTGGGATCTGCATTTGGGATCCCACTCCTGCTGGGATCTGGATTTGGGATCCTCCTTGCAGGTTCTGCATTTGGGATCCTGTCCCTTGAGGGATCTGGATTTGGGATCCTCCTCCTTGTGGGTTATGGGTTTGGGATCCTCCTTGTAGGGTCTGGCTTTGGGATCCTGTCCCTTGTGGGATCTGGATTTGGGTCCGTCCTTGTAGGGTCTGAATTTGGGGTCCTCCTCCTTGTGGGTTCTGGATTTGGGATCCTGTCCCTTGTAGGTTCTGGCTTTGGGATCCTGCTCCTTGTGGGTTATGGGTTTGGGATCGTCCTGCTGGGATCTGGATTTGGGATCCTGTGCCTTGTAGGTTCTGGGTTTGGGATCCTCCTTGTGGGATCTGGATTTGGGATCCTGTCCCCTGTGGGATCTGGATTTGGGATGATCCTTGTAGAGTCTGAATTCGGGATCCCGTTCCTTGTGGGTTCTG